CCAATAAAAGAATTAAAGCAAAATAAAATAAAAAATAAAAAAAAAATGATTACTGTGGGTATAAAATGAGAATAGGGTTCTTACGAGCATCATTTTAGAATATGAACATTAGGTTCTAAAATGGTTTTTAAACTAAGGATGTAGCTCTGGTAGAGAGCATGCTTAGTGCCCTAGGCCCTGAGTTCCAGCACCCCCCCCAAACAAGTTTATCTCCCTTATAAGAGCTTAAATATTAACTTATATAAATCTTAGGGAATTTTTAAAAGAGATTTTTTTCCTTTTCTATTTTAGTACATGTGCAATTCATAAACATGCAAAATAACTAATTTTCAAATCAAAGAGTTCTAGTGGAAACATACAAGTTAAAAATGAAGTATTTTAGGTGCCAAGGATTTAGCTCAGTGGTTCTGTCAGCTGCCCTGCAAGCATAAGGACCCACGTTTGATCCCCAGTACCCTCACCCCAAAAAAGAACTATTTTAGTTCCCTTACTTGATATGATTTCTGCTTTTTGAAAAAGTTTGTCTCCTCTTTTGAGGAACACAGAACAGCAGTAGAAGCTGGGCATGGTAGGGCATGCCTAGAATCCCAGCACTCAGGAGGCAGAAGCAGGAGATGACTGCAAGTTTGAGGCCACCCTGGGCTACATAGTGAGACCCTCAAAAAAACAAAACAAAACAAAAAAACAAAAACAAAAGCAAAAGAACAGCAGTAGTTTGTCCTGGGAAATTTAATTTTTTGTTGTTGTTGTTACCAGGGATCGAACTTGGTTCCTTCAGCTTGCAAGGCAGGCAGCGGAACCACTGAGCTAAATCCCGGCCCCTTTGGGAAATTTAATTTTAACTGTCACTTTTCTTAATATGAAAGTATTATAATACAATAGGCCGAAAACAATCTCTGAACCTTTGCACTGACATCCTCAGGGAGTGCTGAGCCTTTTGGAACATTCTGCAAACCCAACTTCTGGTCCGCTATGCTGCATCTCCCCCATGGAAACAGATTCTCAGCATGGCTCACAGAAGTGATAGGAGACACATCCTCTGTAGGGGTGGCTGTTTTCCATGGAGCTGACCTGTTAAATATTTCCATTTCCAGGTCTGTGGTCAGGGATCATCATCTGTGCTGTCTCTCAAGCTGTGTGTTTTCTGGTCTTCATTGCTCAGCTTAACTGGAAACAAGCCTGCCAGCAGGTAACTATGCTCAGTGCTGCCTTGAAGAAGTTCCTTTCCATCAAACAAACAGGACCCAGTTCAGTGCTCCCTTTCTTCTAGTAGATTCCATTCCCTTTTATGCTGTTTTTATGCTTGTTTTGTTTTATTTGAACTGGACTTTCAGATGTAGAGGGCTGCACAACCTGGCCTTTATCTATTGCCCTCTGTTGATTCCATGAATAGAAAAATACAGGTTCTCTTGAATTTCATGCTGGGCCCTTGCATTTGTCCCCAAAAGGCTGATTTCAGTCTAGGAAAGGTGAGGTATATCAAATCCACTCTAATACTGTTATATATGGTCTCAAAATATTTTGCTAAGATACTATGCTTTTCCTTCTCTTTGCTCTTCCAGTGACAAGGTGAGGTCTGGAAATAGGTAGCAAAAGGAGATGAAGGAAGGAGATGAAGAAGGGCAAATTCTAACTGAGCTTGGTTGATTCACTCCTTCACATTGTACTTTGTCCATCTAGCCTCCCTACCCATTGACACCATTTCAGTCTTTCTAAAAGAAGACCCCATGGTGACCTAGAGAAATTTCAGCTCTGGGTATCAATTAAAGAAAATGGCTTGAGTTTTCAGCTGAGTGGTCAACTAAATGTCCTAACAACTATATAATGACGTTTGGACATACTCTGCCTTTTGCTTTCTAGGCTCAAGTACATGCCAACTTGAAGGTAAATGTGGCCCTGAGTGGGAATTCTACTGCCTCTCAGGATCCAGTTTTCTCAGGTATGATAAAAGTCTCACTTTTGATCAGGTTGTCTGGGTATGACAGGAGGGGCTACTAGGGGACACAACTAGATTGGCTGCTGGAGCTCCCACTGAAACAGAACACCAGTGTTTCGGGAGAAAATTATTAAGTCAAGTGACACCCACTTTGAAGTAAATTGAATTAAAGCCTGTGATTCAACTCCATACATTTACCTGCCACCATAAATGATTTAAAGGACCCTCAGTTCTGCTATTTTTGTGGTACTTCTGTAAGTATTCTGCAGACATCTTTTTTTTTTTTTTTTTTGGTAGTGGGGATTGAACTTGGCACCTTGTGCTTGTGAGGCAGGCAGTAGAACCACTGAGCTAAATCCCTGGCCCCATGCAGACATTTTTTAAAAAACATATATTTTAAATTTTTATTTGATATATAATCATACATATTTGTAGGGTACAATGTGACCTCTTGATACATATATACAGTATGCAAGGTTCAGATCAGGGTAACTGGCATATCCATCACCTCGTACATTTATAATTTGTGTTGAGCTGCAGACATTTCTAATATGTGGTGATTCTGTGCATGGATCATATCTGAGAAACTGACATTTGCCTGTTTGTTTTAATGGGGTCCCTCATTGTGCATTACTTGCTTTAAGTAGATTATTATTTTTTTCTGTGGTACCGAGGATCGAACTCAGGAGGCAGGTGCGACACCACTGAGCTAAATCCCTGGCCCTAAGTAGGTTATTTATTTATTTATTTTTGGTACCGGGGATCAAACTCGGGTCCTTGTGCTAGCGAGGCAGGCAATGAAACCACTGAGCTAAATCCCTGGCAATAGTTTATTTTTTGAATCACTGCTTCTAATGAACATTATAGAAATAGGGTTTTTTTTTTCCTATCTATTTAGTAATTCCTCTGCATTTCCAGTTTCTCCAGCAGCTAGTTATATGACTCTTTTGCTCCTGTAGAGGAGGTAAAAATGGCTTCCCTCCAACTTCCCACACTCTGTAGCTGGGCTACAAATTAGGTCAACACAAGGAAATTAATAGAAAAAAACCATATTGAATTACATTTTGAGGCAGGGGAATCTCACAAAATATGAAACTCAAAGAAGGGTCAGATAACCCAAACTTATATAGCATTCTGAACCACAGAAAGAAAAGGATGTGGGGTTTCTGGGGGTGGTGGCTATATAAGTTACGGGAAGGGGAGGGGAGGAAATGAGCATCAATAAAGGTGGCCATGTTGTATAGATAAAAGTTTCACTGGTGGTAACAGTTGTCAGGAGCAGCCCTCTTCCTGAGACTGTTGCTTTTACTAATATAGATTTCCTTCATAGATGTACATTTATTTTATTAAAGGACAGCATTTCAGAGTATAAAGTTTGCATTTTCTCAGAATGACCAGCTTGAAACATGTCAAAGAAGAGTAAATTGGGGTAGCATGTTCTTGCCACTTATTGTCACATTTTGGGGTGGTATGTTCTGAGCCCCAACACTCCTTTATAATGTAAATCCTTTGGGCTTCCTAGGTGGCTAACTGGCCATCAGTAGTCAATTGTTTTTTTCTCAGTTCTTATTCATACTGTCTTGTCACTTGTGTCTGGTTATCTTTGATTGTGTTCCACACTTTATATTTGAACTTGTTTTAGAAATCATTTGAGATCTAAAACAAAGTTGTATATCTTCAGATAGGATGTTGTTTGTCAGACATTAAGTTTTTGATGTAGGAAAACTATAACTCATGGCCTATTAGATATCAGATGTACCAAGTTCATGGTCTCACATTATCTGGGAACAGAGTTGTGAACCAAAGGAAGAAGTTAGGAGGGTTTTATTGGAACTAAGGAGAAGAATAGCTCTTGGATTTCCAGGAGGGGTCTTGAGTCAATGACCACCAAAGCCTTTTGTCAGGAGTAATTTGTACAGCAAAATTACAATGTGGGTACAATGTGGGTCAGACTACAGTTAACCTGTAGGATTACAAGTATAGCTGCTTAGCTAATATTGACCCAACAGGGAAACTAGTCATGTAGTAAGGGTATATTTAAAGATCAATGAAAATTTTGGAAAGGGAGGGGAGTATGAGTCTAGATGTTTTAATCACCCACTTATGCATGTGATGCCTATCTGGGCTAACAGAACCAGGTGGTGCTAATTACAGTATAATTTTAAGTTGCTGTTCATCTTGATGGCCTGACTATAGTATTTCCATTTACTCTCTTCAAATTTGCCTCCAGCCACAATTCTGGTGCCTTTATTTTTTGTCCTGACTTCCTTGGGGCTCAATCCTTCTCTGACAGCATATTAATATCTATCTAACTTAACTGCCTAATAGTTTCACAGGCAATGTAGGGAAATTTCAGAAATTGAGGCTTTTAGACCACCCAGCTGACCTGAAGGTGAGAGGCAGCCAGTGTGAGGCTAGTTTACTTCTCATTTATACATAATTTTTGGATTCATCCCTTCAGAGAAGTTCCAAGCCCAAACCCAGAGAGGTTTACCAGAGCCCACTCTTGCTGGGCATTGCTTAGCCTCTGAGCTTCATCTTCCAGATGGGGAATTCTCTGGGCAAAAGTAGCCCTTAAGGCCAGGTTCTTCATGTCCGGTTTTCCAGCTTCCTCATGATCATGTCCTGGTAATTGTTCATTATATTGTTAGCTCTTTGATGCCTTCAAGATGATCTTTTACATTTGTTTTATCCAGATAATTATCTTGAAAGGAAGGGTTGGTCTGAGTTTTCTACCATTAGTGTAAATTCCCCCAATTTATAAAACTGGGATAACAGTATTTACTATTGCTGTAGTGTTGAGTACTGACAAGGGTCTGACACAGGATAAGCATTTGGTAGATGTAATCTGGTATTACTATGTTTGAAATTATTTTCTTCCAGAACTCTGAGGGCATTGTAACATTCCTAATACAGGTTGGGATCCCTAATCTGACATGATCTGAAATCTGAAACACCCCTGGTCAGAAGCATTTCAGTTAAGGAATACTCAACCTGCAATCACTTATATTTGTTAGGAAGCTGGATGCTAATCTTCTCCTTTTTTCCCTCTTGTACTGGGAGATTAAACCCAGGGGCACTGTACTATTGCACCACATCCCCAACTCTTCCCTTTAATTTTTTAAAATTTTAATACAGGGGCTTTCTAATTTTCCCAGGTGAGACTCAAACTTTTGATTTTCCTGCCTCAGCCTCCATGAGTGCTGGGATTATAGGCATAAGCCACCACACCTGGTTGCTAATCTTTTTCTTGTGTTGTTAGATAATCTGCCTTTATTTTTATCTTTGGAAGTTGTTAGGGTATTTTCCTGCTATTACCAGTATTTTTACTTGTCTTGATTACTTTTATCATTGCTGAGACAAAAATACCTGATGCTCAAAGTTAAAGGAAGAAGGGTTTAATTGGTTCACAGTTTGTAAAGGTTTCAGTTCATAGTTGGGTGGCTCCAAGGCAGGGTGGCATGGTGGAGGGGCATCACAGAGGAGAAACAGTTCATGGCAGGCAGAAGACAGCAGAACAACAAAGTAGCAAGCAGCAAGCAGTGACAAGTGATCCTAGAAGCCCTCTTTCAGTCCCTTATAGTTTGTCTGGGATACCCATCTGTTGCAGGCAGAAGGATTTGGTGAGGGAATACATTAAATACAGGACACATAACTTATAAGATTATTTTATGATAATTACCCAAAGAGTCAAATGCAAAGGAGTGCAAGAGATTTACCACACACTAGAAGTCCAAAGGATTCGAGTGAGGGCCTAGATCCCAGAAGCTTCCCATACAAGTCCAGCTGAAGGCCTAGAGTCCAAGGCAATGTCCTTCTCGAGTCCAGCCAGTGGCCTAGAGCCCACGGCAATGTGTCATACTTTTCTGTATTGAGGATATGCACCCAGAAGGCCCAAAAGCCAATGATGGAAGCCAGAAAATCTACGCTGGTGAGATGAAGGATTTCTGCCATCAAGCTGAGGGATCCGCATTGGAGTTAGGAACTGATGCTCACAGTGAAGATTAGAGCTCCCCTGATGAAAACAGCACCAATTCCCAGCAACAGCGAAGCCCCGAGCTCCTCCTCTGATAACATCCTAGTTTGCATCGGGAAAACCATCTGCAGCAGGCGTCTCCTAGCAAGTCAGCTGGCCAAGATCCTCCCCTTCAGTTCACTTTTTGTGGCTATTGGTAACAATCTTCAGGTGAATCTGCCACGCCCAGACCATGCTGATTCAGTTCAGCTGGGCATTACAAGTTGACCATTAGTCAATCTACCACACCATCTTTACTGCAGGTAGCACTCACATCCAGGGAGAGCCCTCCCATTATCCACTCCCAAACCAATCAGTGGACTAATTTAGTAATTGCACACCTTTGGTCCCAGCATCACACGCCCTAGATCCAGACACCTCTGAAAAGCACTATGAGTGCATGAAGCTTTGGGAGGACAGCTACACACAAGCCACAACATTACTATTATGAAGCATCAGGAGAACGAGTGTGTAGGTGTGAGTCATTATCCCACTTGGTACTTAGTAGGCCCTTGGATGTGAAGACTAACACCTTTTCTCAGTTCTGTGAATAACCTTAATTTATTCCTTAGTTTATTTCCCCCTCCATTTGGTCCTTCTTAAATGCTTATTCTATGGGCACCGGCCCTTTGAAAACTTCCCCTGTGAATTTTAATTTAGAGAGTTCCCTCTGCAAGAGGCAGTTTAACTATTTAGCTCATGAATTGGCAGCTAGAAGAGACAGGGCCTAAGATGGAGTCAGGCTTGTCAGCATTAAAAAGAAAATAGCACTTACACCTACACTGACTTAAGAGCTAATTCAAGCCATACAGATAGTTAAGCTTAGAAATGTAAAAGCAAACCTAGGAAAAATGATAAAGAGTAAAGATAAGGATGGCAGTTAAGAACTATGACTCCCAGGAAAGAAACTTTTTAGGCAGAACGAACCAAGGTGGCAGTCTCTCCCTACTTCGGGCTGACAGCTGGTTTCAAGGAATTTGGGAACACTGAGCAGCTACTTTTTCTTTGAAATTTACATTTAAAAACCTGAGTCTTAATTGGTTGTTTTGGGCCCACAGACAGACTGACACACCACCTGCTGGGCACTGGGCAGATTCCCCTGTTCTGCTCATCCATAAAAGATTCTGGACAAAGAGCCCACTGAGCAAACCCACTTTCAGGCCCCTTCTGAAACTACTCCCCAGGAGCTTTCTTTCTTCCAATAAACACTTCCCCTTTAACTGCTTCCTTTTTGTCCTTGATTTCACTCTTTAAATTCAATGAGCTGGTTTTGTATGGTGTCACCTGTTTCACCCAGAATACCCAGGCCGATAACAGTGGTTTGTGAAGGAATGAAGAGGCACTCTGAGATAATTGTAATGGAACCCAGTGGGCTTGCCCCTGGTGAGTGCTAAGCCAATAAGCACAACCAGGAGACAAAGACTGCAGAAAGGTTTAATATTTGAACAAGTAAGGAGAAATCTAAGGATAACTCCCAAAGCAGTGTCTCTCTGAAGAAAGGAAGCAAGGGGCTTGCATTGGAGAAATTTTATGCATATTCATCATAGAGAGACTCTTGTGACACATTAAGGTAGGCAAACTCCTGAGCATGCTCAGTGTAAGCTCATGCTGCTCATGTTAAAAAATGATGGCAATGTCTCTTGGGTGGAGAATTGAGCACTGTAATGAGCAAAGAGTGGTTCCTTGTGGTTTTCTCTGGAGCACAATATCTGAAACAAAGAAAAACATTGAAGGAATAACAGTCATTTAAAGGGGCAGTAGCTCCACCCTCAAAAAAAGTATAGGAGTTCTAAAAGTTCTTGTCTAACAAAATTTTTAAAATTTATTCATTGTAGCAATTATTTCCCAATTTTTTCCTAGCAAGTAGTACATTATGTACATCGTCTTTTATACAGGTGAAAAGAAATTTCTTTCAAACTGCTAACTAAGTTCCTTTTTCCCCCCACAGTGAGTCCTGAAAACCATGAAGAGATTTTAATGAGAGATATTGAAAAAAAAGAGGAGACTCACTCGGAACAACAGATACACCAAGAACAACCTTTGCCTGCCCATACAAAAGACAATGGCAAATTGTCTGGAAAACAGTTGGTGCTACGGCGAGGGCTCCTGCTCCTTGGGGTCCTTTTAGTCTTGCTCATAGGGATTTTAGTGAGAATATATGTCAGAATTCAGTGATGTGTGTGAGAAATGCATTCACTTGTCCAGACCCAAAGAATGGACTTTTAGGGACAATTCCTCATTCTTGAAAGAATAGGGTGCCAATTTCAGTGAGCAATTTAACTCCTCCCCCTCCTTATATGAAGTTCCCTCTTCCTTCCCTCATTGGAAGAGTACTTGGAGGTTCAAGTCTGTTCCATCAGAAGGCATGCCTAACTTCTTTACCCTGCTCCCTCTGTAAGCAATTTGTGGTTTCTAAAAGCAAATGATTAAACTACAGGGGATTACTTCCTAACTGCTAGTGCTTTTCCAGAGTTAGCATAGAATTCCCTTCTTAATTGACTCTCCCCTTTTGCATTTGTTCTGAAACCCTTTCATGACTACAACAGACCATTTTAAATGTTTATTTGTAGGTCAAGTGATACAGATAGGGTTGCCTCCTGAGAGGCCCATCAGAAGGTGAAAATATCCTAAGGCTGGAGGTGTAGTTGAGCTGGAGGCCTTGGGTTCAATCCCCAGTAGCACCACCAAAAAAACAAAAGGAAATACTGACAATGCATTTAATGTACCTTACCTATGAAACACCCTAGCTTAGCTGCAGCTGCACCACAGAGAATCTGCTGCTGTTGTGACTGATGAGCTGACTTGGAGCCGTGGCTTTTTGTCTAGCATCCTGAGAGACGCTACCCTGGGAAATGCTTCAAATTCAAAGTACAGTTTCTACTGACTATGTTGAGCAATTGAAATTCAGACCATCTTAAATTGGGGGGCACATGTATTTTTGAGCTCAGAGATAAATAATTTGTAGGCCCAGCAATGGAAATTCATTTTCAGCTAATGTAATTCAGCTGCACCTGTGGACTTTTAAGAACTGAAAATACAAATATTTTTCTAATGAAGAAAAGGAACGAAGATAAACATTATATTTTGGCCCAAGACAATGTGTGAAAGGTGATGCTGGAGTAATAATTCATCCACCATGGTCTCAACCAATGATTATTGTGTATTGACTGCATTTATCTATGGCTTTCATATTTCTTATGCTTACTGTTTTCGAAGACACAAATTCATAAAGTGCTTAAAGATTCTTACTGTGTGATTTTAAAAAATGTATTTTACAATATATCTTTCCTTGTGTCATAGATTATTATTCAGCGGGCGAATGGCATTTGTTAATCTTTAGTTGGCATCCAGGTCTCAGGCACTGTTGGTCCATAGGCAAAATATTTGGAGCTTGAAAATCCAAAGGAAAGTTACAGTGCCTGGAGGTGGTGGACAGTTTTCACAAAGGTCTTAGTAATGCTACTTCTTTCAGTCTTTGTAGAGTTAAATGCACATGGCTAATCAGAAAACCTCACTGAGTAGCACACTCAGTGCTACAGTGGATACATGTCTAGGCAAGACCTTGGCCCTGAAAGAACAGATAATGAACAAAGTCAGAAAAGTTATTACAGTGAATAAAAAAGCACCCAACTCCCCCCACCCCGCACGCCTCAACCCCCCGCACTGCTGGGGATGGAACCAGGGGCTTGACACAGACTCTACCTCTGAGCTACACTCCTGTCCTCCAACGCTGATTGTGATTGGGGCCATCACAAGGCATCTCCAGCCTTAGGGCTTTCTTAAATTGAACCTCATTTTCCAGGCACCCAGAAAAAATTTTGTACTGATTGTGGCCTCCAGATGGGGCTGGGGGCAGAAGGCAGCCCCAGGGATGCCTCCTCCCCAACTCTGTTAGGAAGCTCTGTCTTTGTTGTCCCTACCTCCCAGCAGCCTAGAAGTTTCTCACACTCCCTACCCTCCGCCTGGGCCGCAGGTGTGCGAGGTTCCTCCAGCCTCAAACAGCGCAGGTGGCGAGGCCGGGGAGTGGGGCTCTGCCCACCCTCTGAACCTACTGCTTTTGCAACCTGCAATGTCTTCATAGAAACCCGAGTGGCCTCTCACTGGGGTTCCCCTCCCCATCGTAGGCCCCTCCCAACACCCCCCACCCACCCCCATCCCCCGTTCTGCTGGCGGTGGCGGCAGAGAGTGGATAGGTAGGGGCGGCCTGGTCCCCGTGCAGCCCGCCCGCCTCCCCGAAGTGGAGCGGTCTCTGCCTCGGCCTCCTGCGCTCCCATCCGCGACCAGTGGAGCCCCCTCCCGGCCCCGGCATGGAGCCCCCAACGCCCGTCGACGCCGAGCCCCCCATGCCCGCCGCGGACCAGCCCCCCGAGCTGCCTGGCGCCCTCGGGTGGCACGGCGGCCTGAGGAGCGCGCTGCCCCCTGACGTGAAGCGGGAGGCGGCCGCGCTTGCCAAACTCGCGGGCCCGGTGGTGAGTGGGCCGACCCCAGGGCACGGGCTGCTCCAGGCGCCCCCCGCGTGTTCCTGGTACTCTGTCCTCTGGGCACTGTGCCAGTGGGAACTGCCTTCCTTCTGTCCCCTCGCAGTTCCTGGCACAGTTGATGATCTTTCTCATTAGCGTCGTCAGTTCCATATTCTGCGGACATCTGGGCAAAGTCGAGCTGGATGCTGTCACACTTGCCACCTCGGTAGGTGTTTTGTTTTGTTTTTCTGAGACAAGATCTTGCTAAATCGCACAGGCTGATCCTCGTGCCTCAGCCTCCCGAGTGTTGGAATTACAGGCTTGCCCCACCGCACTTACCTTAAATTTTACCTTTTTATTTGAGCTGATGAGATGGCAAAGCCTCAGAAATTCAGTTGTTTATTTTTATTTTTGTGGTGCTGGGGCTGAACCCAGGGTATTGCCCATGCTAGGGAAGTGCAACCACTGAGCTACTCCCCAAGTCCCAAGCCTCAGAATGTGAATTGTGTCATGTCTTATGTGTCATCCTTTACAGAGTGGGCCTGACCTACAGATTTACCAGATCTTTAGGGTTGAAAGGAGATATTGTCAAGTACTTAAAGTGTTTCGATCTACAGAGGCACCAGGTCTTGTGAGGAGTGTTATTGTGTTGTACATATCAACCAAAACTAAAAACACGTTGCTTTTTTTTCTATTATCAAATTAAACCAAGGAAACCATTAGTTGATTCACACCATTCATTAAAGTCTTGTTTCATGCTTGTAAAGTCTGGTTTTTGGGGGTGGGTTGAAATTACACCTTCTTTGAAGTATTTCTCTGGGTCTTAGTGAGGCAGTGGAAAGCTGCTTCTCTTGCATGAAATCCAGGCTTCCAAAGAAGGCAAAAAAAGACTCCACCTGCTAACAGCAGGTGTTTTTTCTCATTTTCAGAAAATGTCTCTCTGTCCCCATAGGGGTGCATCCTGAGACTGTGGAGGCCCCACAGAAGTTTCACATTTAGCCTCACGTTAGAGAAGACAGGGTTTGTAGTATATCACTTTTTATTTATGAGCTTGTTACTGTTTTTGGTGAATGAGTTAGTATGGGACATTTCTTTTTTCTTTGAAAATTCAGATTGGGCTTATAGAAAGTTAAGAAGGAAGAGAGGCTTTAAAACATGGACGGTCCAGTGTCTCCTGCTGCAAAGGTGTGTGTGCCCCCTGCGTGGTGCCTGGCAGTGGAGCCCTGGCCCACATTGCCCTGGTCACGCTTAGGGTGTGAGCATATGTGAATGGGTAATAGTATGAGGCTGAGACTGAGGTCTACCATCTCCCCATCCCTGCCTCCCAGCCGGAACCCCTAGCCCAGTACTCATTTCTGGGTGCCCATCTAGGTCCCTCGCCCTGTGCTTTCCATGTGGATGACAGCTCCTGGCCAGTCAGTGACCTCAGCCTGAGACTCCCTCTTCCTCCAGGCTCTTATGACTCAACCTCCCTCCCTCTGTCTCCCTGACTTCCTGGACTTACAAATCCACTCCAAGCCCCTCACCCTGCCCATTTTCATCCCTCAGTGCAGACCCACAGTGAACATTTTCAGCTTTACTTTTCCAGTCTCTTTCCCACCTTTTGTGCCTAGAGCTCTTTAAGTCCCCATGCCCACTCTTTCTGCCTTTGACTTTATGATGTCAACAGTGCCAGGATCCATCTTCTCTCACTCCTGTGGCCCCCAGCGGGTCCTCTGTCTTATACCTTGGGCCACACAGGCAGCGGCTGACCTCTCATCACGTGTTCCATACACCCCCAGAGCTTTTGCCACCTCCCCTTCATGATCCACTTTCCACTGTGCTCTAGAATCTTCCTTTTCCTTCTAGCCCCTTTGCTTTATGTATTTCCACTCCATTATGATATCTTATGAAGTTATTTGTTTTAAACTGGAGAATGAACCCACTGTATAAGCCTCTGTATAAAGCCCTGTCCCCAGCCCTTTTTTATTTCTTATTTTGAGACAGGGTCTTGATAAGCCATTAAATTGCCCAGGCTGGGTTCAAGTTTGTAATACTCCTTCCTCAGCCTCCGAGAGCACTGGGATTACAGGTGTGCACCACCAGTCTCTTTTTTTAAATAAAAACATCCCCATCCACCCCTGTCATCTCTCTCTATCTATGTTCTTTGCTGGAAAGACCATATTCTGTCTTCATCGCCTTTTCTCCTGCCAAAGTCGAGCCCCTGCTCTCCCATTGTTCTGTTCACCTTGCTTTGACAGCAGTTGGCAGTGACCGACTCTCATCCCTTTGTTGATACCAGAGGATTCACCCTCACCTGGTCACCCTGTGGATCATGTTTCAGCCTGGTCCTCCTCAGCTCTCCTGTGGTCTTTGTGATAGTTGCACTTCACTTTCTCTCCTTTCTCCTCCCCGTTCTGTTTCAAATGTTCCCTGTTTATTGGTATGTCCTAAATTGGTATCTCCATCCTTGACGTGGGCTTCCAGCTCAGGTGACCACTTTGGGATGAATCAGATAGAAGATGCAGGGACTCCTCCAACCCAGAGAGTTTGAAAATATTCCCTGGAGTCTTGATGTACTTGCCTCCTCTATTTGTATAATTTTTATTTTTTGCAGTGCTGGGGATGGAACCCAGGGCCTCACGTATGTACTCTACCTGTGAGCTACACACCCAGATCCCCTCTTTCATTTTTTATACTTCCCATCTCTATCAGTCAGCATGGCCCTTATTGCCCTACATTCCTTAGAATCCCTCATTTTTTTCTGTTTCCCACTCCACTATCCTGGGTGGCCTTCATCCTCTCTACCTCTCTCCTCGCCTGGAGTCTACCCTGCCCTCTAAGGCCAGAGCCCTTTCCCCGTGTCCTGAGCCCTGTGACTGCTGGGTCTGGGCCCTGGCTCTGTTGTGTTGATTTTCTCTGCCTCTGGTTTCTCACTGATTTGCAAGCTCATATTCATTTTTTGCTCAATTTAATTCCTGGCACCGATCTGGCATAGACAGAGCTGGCCTAACTGTTTCAGAGAGACACATTGCTCAGGTGTTCTGACCTTTGAGTCAGCTTTCACTGGGCATCTTCTGGTTTGTTTTTGTCCTATCCCTCAGCCCTACTGCTTTATGCTTTTCCATTCTGTAATGTGGTGAGGATTTAAAACCTCAGGATTATATGTTTGCATAAAGTCCTATGACTCCTATTCTTTCATTTATTTCACTAAAACTATTTAAAAATATATCTTAGGAAAATTAAATTAAGATTATAGAGATGGTTTGTGGCAATTTCCTTCTCTCTTTCTGTTTATCCCCCAAATCATCTAATGATAAGAGGGTAGAGAAGATTTCTTAGTTTTCAGTGTAAAAATATCAGGCCTAGGCTGAATACAATCCTGATTATAATAGAGAGCCTGAACAGGGAATGGGAAGGATGGTGTGTTCCCCACACAGGACTATCTGAGATGAGGTCCTGCATTGGGAGCTCTGTTGCCAGCCCTTGGCAAGCAGGAGGTAACACTTTTCTTTTAGTCAGTTGTGAAACTGTAACTAACTGCTGGGAAGACAAGAGACTTAGCTGCAGGATAACTTTATTTATGAAAGTTAGTTTTGAAATGTCTTGACCTTATGAAAAATTCTTTATAGTATGAAGAAATTTATGTGTTTATTTTCCTTAAGTAAAAGAACATTTGTTTATAATCCACCTTATTCCACAAAGAACTTAAGCTGGTTTACACAAATATGTATAGTAGGGAAGGACAAATAGTCGGTGGAATGGGCCAAAGGAACAGGGATGGAGGTAGCTGGGGCCAGGGGCAAGATCAGCAGCAGGATGCTGCGCTTCTATTCTGAGCTCTGCTCTGTGGGATTCTCACTATACCTCAGATTTTGCCAAACTGTGGATTTAGAGGAAAAATGATTTTTCCGTGTACTGAGGTAGTGAAATTTCTCTTGCAGATTCTCATACAGTGAACACTACGACTGTTTTTTGGACAACTTGCCATGGGAGACACAGTAGCAATTTTTGTCCTATCCTTTCTTATAAGTTGTCCATGGTAAGGGAGAGACATGACACCAGTTCAGTTAGATAAAAGCTTGTGACCACTGAAGCAGTGGGATCCACGACTGTGGCTTTTGGGCTAAGCTGTGAGCTGTACAGGAATAATATTCTAAGCCAACCAAAGTCAGTTAGTTTACAAAAAATGAAAACACAACAAAAAGAAAACAACAACAAAACCACCCTCCCTAAAGCAAAAGCAAAACAAAATGAAAAATGGAAAACTTTTCAGAAATTGGCACATTTCGCCTTTCTCCTTTCCTAGAAGGCTGAGGTGCTCTGGATGAATTCAGTGTGTGGCGTGGGTGTTTCATGTCCAGCCCTCATTGTGCCCTGAGCCCTCTGGGTCTCATTTAGATCCAGCCTTTGCCTCATGGGGTAACCATTAGGCATTCTCTATGTGGCCTGTTAGCTCCTGGGGACTAGTGTTTTGGTTACCAGATGTCTTAGTCCACTATCTGTTGCTAAAACAAAAATTTGAAGCCTATGTACTTTATAAAGAAAAGAGATTTGTTTAGCTCATAGTTCTAGAAGTTCTAGAGCATGGCACCAGCTCCTTCTTGGCTTCTATAGCATAGCATAGCAGATGCACCATAGCCAGAGCATCTGTAAGAGAAAGAGAGCAGTCACATGATGAGTTAGGAAGCAAGAGGGATTCACAAGATCTAACCAGGATGCCTCAAGAACTACATTAATTTCTTCCAAGGGTAGTGCCCCCAGTGATTAATCACCTTCTTCAAGCTCCACTTCTTGAAGTGTTACCTCCCAACTCTGACACACTGCGAAACAAACGTTCAGCTTTGCACCTTTGGGGATTACTCTCAATCTATATTCAACCTGTGGGGCCAGGGTAGTCTTAGTAAGTAGAGACATTATCACCTAGGATTGACATGGCTGCTGTGTGTGAGTCCCAGGGTGGAAACAGGGATTTTCAGATCCCTGGCTCTACATTTCTCCTTCTTCTTCTCTGTTCCACAATAGCACCTATAGGCCTTGCTCTCACCTGTGGGCTTCTGTCTGTGCCCTTAGATCTCAGAGCACTGGGTAAGGTCCAGTCAAGAGAGTGACCTGTTCCTCACTAGAGGACTAAAGTCTGGGGTCTGCAGCCAGACTCCCCAACTTCACATCATGCCATCTGACTAGCCTGGGAAAATGTAAGCATTTGTGATGCATGTTATCCAAAAAATGGGATTAATGATCATACGCTATGTACATGAAAGGCTTAGGAGACTGCCTGGCACATTAGAAGGTGCTACACCCCCAACCCTATTGTTATTTTTAAATGTGCATCTTACTAGCAAACAGAGGCATGGCCTTTGAACATTAACCACAACTTTTATTTACCTTTATTTCTTTAATTTTTTTTTTTGGTACTGGGGATCAAACTCAGGACCTTGCACTTGTGAGGCAGGTGTGGTGTCACTGAGCTAAATCCCCAGCCCTATTTCTTTAATTCTTTTTGGTACAGGGAATCAAACTTGGGACCTTGCACTTGTGAGGTTGGGGGTAGAACCACTGAGCTAAATCCCTGACCCTTCTTTAATTTTTTAAGACAAAATCTCACCATGCTGCCCAGGCTGTCTTGGAACTTCTGGGCTCAAGGCATTCTCCTTCCTCAACTTCTTGAGTAGCTGGGACTACAAGCACATACCACAGCACCCTTCTTGAACTTTTAAATACAGAAATTGTAATGTGTAGTATTAAGAAAAACTAGGTTTTAGGTTTTCCCAGTTGACTCAAAGTGGTTATGACCTTTTGGTTAAAATGTATGTTTTTGTTCAATAATCTACAAGGATTGATGGGGACACCCATTTGATCTGAAATACATAGGCTTAAGTATACAGCTGTGAATTGCTCTTTAAAAATGGACTTGTAGAAGTTCCTTGGTGTAAAGAGGTGTTTGACATTGACACTGGATGCCACACCTCCCCTATTGTTTCTTGCAGGTTGTGAACGTTACTGGGATTTCAGTGGGAACTGGCTTAGCCTCTGCCTGTGACACGCTGATGTCTCAGGTAAGGACCACCTTGCCCAGACAGATTTTTTATGGGCAATTACCTTTTACCCTCGGCGTTGCCTAGGGAGTTACCCACTCTATTGGGTTTTTTCTTCCTTTTATGTGTTAAATCCAATGCTGTTAGTGACTATAAACCCGCAAGCATAGCTGTTTTAGCTTTACAACATCAAAAGACAAAATTATAGCAAACTTAGTTATAAATTTAACTGGTCTTTATTTGCAATTCAAGAATGGGCCAGCTCTATTCTACAAAAGAGTGAGTATTTCCACCAGCCATGGCAGAATGGTGGATTTTGTAAGGTGGGAACAAGAAAGCAAAGCAATTGGAAGATTACTGGTCAACATCAGTTTCATTTAGGTTATTTTTCTAAGTAGGTTAAAGCAGGGGGACTTTGTTATTACACAGACTCAGATAGTTGGGATCTCCTGTTCTTAGGATAAACTGGTCTGTTTGGGGATCCATCTGCTTCTTAAAGTTTGAGTTTGATGATGTGGCATTTAGCAGGAGGGCCTCCATTTTGGTCTGATCTGGTCTGCTGGGGCTAGTATAAAAGATCAGTCCCAATCACTGTCATCATTTTGTTTAACAGCTTGTTCTGTCCTCTGAGTCCCACTTGCTTAGGGGCTGCATTTGTCTTGCTCCTCCCTGTCTTATCTCCCCTGTCCCTCTTTTCTTTGGTGCCGGGGTTGGAACCCAGGGCCTTGTGCAGGCTAGGCAAGTGCTTTACCATTGAGCCACACCTCAGTCCTCCATAAGTTTCTTGAAAGTGTTCTTTGCACTCCCATTCTCAACTCAGCCCCCATCAATGCCTTTTGCATTCCTGCTCATCTGCTAGGCCTATCCTCTTCCAGGTCCCCTCCTCACCTCTTGATGACATTGTCAGGTAAACACCTCTCTGTCCTTAACCCATTATGGCCAACCCCATATGGTAAATATCTTTCTTCCTCTGCCTCTGCAAGTATCCCTGGCCTCAGGGCCCCCCTGTTCCCAAGGCTTCATTCTCATCCTCACTATTCTAGGTTCTCATCTCTGCTCCAGTACGCTCTAGGTTAACAGTGTCAATTCTGGAGAATAGGGACCTACATGTCCCAGGATGTGTAGATTGCCACAGCTGCCTACTAGCTCGCTGGCTGCTGCTGGCTTTGCAGCTTCCCTGCACCATCAGCTATGAACATTGGCTACCTGAGCCACAGGGTCTGCTGAAGTTCAAGGTCCAGGTTTCAGCCTACACCGTGGGATTCTTTCTGTTTGGTTTCCAAAGTCCTTTGGAGGCAAGAACCTGAAACGCGTGGGGACCATACTTCAGAGAGGAATTCTCATCCTGTTGCTGTGTTGCTTCCCTTGCTGGGCCATCTTCGTCAACACTGAGCGCCTCCTCCTGCTCTTAAAACAAGACCCTGAAGTCTCCAGGTCAGCAGTGTCTCCATTTCAGAATCTTAGGTCAAGAGTAAGTAGCTCTCTGGGCTGGGGTGTGGCTCAGTGGTAGAGCCCTTTCCTTGCTTGCACAAAGCACTGTGTTCACCCCCAGCGCACCTGTGTTGACATTTTCAGCCAGTTAACCTGGGCTTGAGCCCTTTGGAAGCTGTGACTATAGGCCTGAGTGGTATGGCTACAGGGATTGCCTGACTCAGTGTGACAAGAAGCAGGACAAAGGTGCTGTGCACTTGGCCTCATCTTTCTTTTCCGTCATCCCTCCATTTTGGTGTCCTGCAAACACATAGAATGCTTTCCCTGACAGAAGTAGAATACAGACATGACTTTTAGAGATGCTTTTTTAAAAACTTACAATTCCAGCATGGCCTCACGTATTGTCCTTGGATGCATGGTCCTTTCTAGTAGATTCTTGCTCACTGTAAGGTACTCCTGATGCTTTCAAAGGGTTTCTAAATTGTGCTCAAGTTTTATTTCTTTTTCTGTGTTCACTCTATGTTTTAGGCTGAGAACAAGTTGAAAAATGTTGTTAGCCTTCCTGTTAGTAAGGAGATAGAATGGGCCTCAAGTGGTGTTGATGTATATTAGAGAAAACTAGAGTCGTGATTCAGTTTCTCCTATATAAATTACTTTTAGTTTTAATTTTAAAAAATATTCTGTGGGCTCAATTTGAAGATAGTATGACCAGAAATCATTTTAATATTAATAAAAGACTTTTTTTGTTTATTACAGGATAGCCCAGATTTATGTGATGATTTTCATTCCTGCTCTTCCTGTAAGTGTCAAGGCTGTTGTTGTTTGACATGAAGCAGCTCATTTGTTTGTGTTGCCCTGGCCCACTTGTCATTCATTGATCACAGTGCCATTCATGAAAAAGTTCAACAAGTATTTCTGGGACCTGCTGTCCCTACCTTGCTGATTCTCAAAATATATACCACTCTGGTGTTCAACGGAAATACAAGTATTGAAGAGAAAATGTTTTCTCCCTGATTCCTTATTCCATGGTTACATTTTTTTTGGTACCAGGGATCCAACTTGGGACCTTGCGCTTGCAAAGCTGGCAGCAGAACCACTGAGCTAAATCCCTGGCCCATTCCATGGTTACTTTTGATAGCAAATTAATCAGAACATTTCCTGGGTGCCCTTGGAGCCATTTAGTATGTCAAGGCTGCGGCTTATGCTTCAGCCATTTAGAATTTGCCTGTGAGTAAATCTTTAACTACTGTGAAAAATTTCAAATAGTTATTGTCCTAGCGTTTAGGGTGAGTCTGGTTTTCTAAATTTGAGATCACATAATCAGGAGGAAATATAAATTAGAACTGGGGCTGGAGATGCAGCTCAGTTGGAGAGTGTTTGTTTGGCAGGTATGAGGCTCTGGGTTCTAGCCACAATACCACGAAAATAACATCACCACCACAAAATCAGAACTGAAGTAACTTGATGTTTGCCTTTCTGTTTTATCTTATAGGCAGCATTCCTATTTCAGCTGCAGACAAGATATTTACAAAGTCAGGTATTGGTTCCTTTTATATTTTTACTCCATAATACTAGAAATATAGAGTAAACATTTTAAAGAAATTTGCTATGAAAGTAATTCATAATTTTTCCTACCAGAGTTCTTAGTCTGGGAGATGTAGGGCCTTGTAGTTGGATATCATCCAGCCCAGGAGGGATGCCCACATCAGTCTGTGTACTTCCTCCTGATCATCTCTCAGCTCCTTACTTCTGGATTGCTGGTGGCCAGTTTTGCAACTAGCCTGGGACCTGGGCCTGTACTTCTGATTTAGAGGGAAAGAGCCTGGATTTATTACAGACACATTCCTGGAAGTGGTAATGGGGCACTGTGACCTCAGTACACCAGAGGCAGAAGGGGAAAAGAAGGAGAAGGCTGCACCTAGGAGGTGGGTGAGCAAGGTCAGAGGCTGAGTCACTCTTCACTGTCCCTTTGCTGTCCATCCCAGTTAAATATCTTGGTAGCCTTTAAACACAAAAACATTGCTCATGAAGCCCGAATAAATACATTCTGCCTTTATATCAGGCAACTCTGTTTAAATGAGGGGGAGGTGTTACATAAAGAAAATGTTTATCTGAGTACTAGACTGGGCAGTGTAAACAAAAGAAATGAGGACTGGCACCATAAAACAAAGGGGCAAACATTTTGTGCCACCTGCTACAAAGCAGGCATTGCTGGGTGCTTTGCACGTGAGACTTCACACTTACCACAGCCCTGGAGAGCAGTGAAGCAGCTTGGCTGCACTGTCTCCCACATGGTCTTTCTTTTACATGTCATGCCAGGGCCTGCTTGCTCTTTAGATGATTATTCCCCCTTTCCTCTCTGCCACTGTTATGGAAACTATGACCTACCAAGGCTTTCAGAAGCATTTACAAATTTTTGGTTGAATTGTGTAGAAGCTGTACCAAGGTGGGGGAGGGACATCTGGTTGTTTCTGCTCCTGGCTTGTGTGACTGCCTGTAATTGTCACCTATAAGCAGGGCATGGTGGTGCAGGCCTGTGGTCCCAGCTACTGGGGAGGCTGAGGTAGAAGGATTGTTTGAGCCCAGGAGTGACGTTAGTGCAAGACCGCATCTCAAAAAAAAAGTTACCTAGCCCCGGGCCTGGCTGCCTGAGCGGGGAAGGGCCGCGGGGCCTGGGCTAAGGGCCGGCCGGGCCGGGAGCTGCAGGGCGGAGGGCGAGTGCGTGAGGGAGCCTGCCCGTGGAGCCCTTCTCACTCTGCTCTGCGTCCCTTCCCTGGGCGTCGGGGCACCCCGAGACCTCCGCCCCGCCGCGGGGCCTCCAGCCCGAGGCATCCTTCTCGCTCGTGGCCGAGCTCCTCCGCGCCTTGCATCCCCTCGCCGCGCGCCGTCGCACCACTCCTGGGCTCGGGACCCCAGCCTCGCCCCCGAAACATGACTCGTGATTTCAAACCTGGAGCCCTCATCTTCGCCAAGATGAAAGGTTACTCTCATTGGCCAGCCCGAGTAGATGAAGTTCCTGATGGGGCTGTAAAGCCGCCCACAAACAAACTGCCCATCTTCTTTTTGGGGACTCATGAGGCAGCTTTTTTAGGACCAAAGGATATATTTCCTTACTCAGAAAATAAGGAAAAGTATGGTAAACCAAATAAACAAAAAGGTTTTAATGAAGGCTTATGGGAGATAGACAACAATCAGAAGGTGAAATTTTCAAGCCAACAGGCATCGACTAAACAGTCAAATCCATCATCTGATGTTGAAGTTGAAGAAAAAGAAACTAGTGCTTCAAAGGAAGACCGTGATCATGAAGAAAAAGCAAGCAGTGAGGTTATGACTAAAGCAGTTGATATAACCCCTCCAAAAGCTGCCAGAAGAGGGAGAAAGAGAACAGAAAAAGTAGAAACCTAGGAGGAAGGAGTAGTGACAACAGCAAAAACATCTGTTAATCTAAAAGTGAGTCCTAAGAGAGGACGACCTGCAGCTACAGAAGTCAAGATTCCGAAACCAAGAGGCAGACCCAAAATGGTAAAACAGCCTTGCCCTTCAGAGAGGGACATGGTTGGTGAAGAAGACAAAAGTAAGAAAAAGGGGCAAGAGGAAAAACAACCTAAAAAGCAGCCTAAAAAGGATGAAGAGGGCCAGAAGGAAGAAGATAAACCAAGGAAAGAGCCAGACAAAAAAGAGGGCAAGAAAGAAGTTGAATCAAAAAGGAAAAATGTAGCTAAAACAGGGGTTACATCAACCTGATTCTGAAGAAGAGGGAGATGACCAAGAAGGTGAAAAGGAGAGAAAGGGTGGAAGAAACTTCCAGACTGCTCATAGGAGGAATATGCTGAAAGGCCAGCATAAGAAGGAAGCTGCAGACCGAAAACGCAAACAAGAGGAACAAATGGAAACTGAGCACCAAACAACATGTAATCTACAGTAATAAAAAATATATCTCATTTTGGGCTCAAAGCACTAATCCAGTTACTGAAAATAGAATACAAGTGGAGCAAACAAGAGACAAAGATCTTGAGACAGACTCATTGGACTGAATTTCCCCTTCCCCCCTTGATGGAAGAATGTTCCAGATTCTAAATTGAGGACTTCATTATTAATGACATTGTTACTGTGTTCTGATTGTTAACAAAGTTTACTGTGAGGTACACACTACACACTAAGGTCAGCCATCATTCCTGTTAAACTTTTTACTAAGCTTAAAATGAAGCTTTGTGTTTGAAAGTTATAACAAGCCTAGACGAAGATGGTGATTGTACATTATTCATTTAGATAATATAAAAATGTTTTGTTTTGAAGCTAGGTATTAATTGGAATAGCTATTATACCGGAGAGTGGCACAGCTGTGCCCTTCCTTTGACATTCCTTTGTTGTTTAATTCTTTAGAATCTTGTTTTTTTAATCCTGAGAGATTAAGCAGTAGACTTGTTAAGGAAAAAAATGAAACTGTAACCAAAATTTAAAAAAAAAGTTACCTATTTAACTCTGAATGTTCACTTGACAACTTAGCTGAGTAGCTTTTGAAAATGCTGTTTTCCTATTTTTTTTTGGAATTTAGGGCATCATCATGCCCCAAGTTATTACTGGAATTGCAGCGAATGTCGTCAATGTGGGTATGAATGCCCTCTTGCTGTACGCCCTGGACCTTGGAGTAGTGTAAGTCATGACCCATTCATTCAACAAAAACTTGAGTGTGTGCTGGCTCCAGTCCTAAGGGCTAGGATGCAGGGGGTGAAGCAATCCACAGAGGGAATGTGGACAGGTAAACAGGCAACCATAGGCTGGTTTGCTTACCTGAAAGACAGGTAAGAATTGGTTGTTATGGAAGCCCACAGTGGGAACAGCTATCTCAGGCTGTTGGAAATGGGTGAAGGTTAAGTGGAGAGGAGAGACATGGTTATGGAGGAAGTGATGTGTAAGATGATAGCTGTGAGTAGAAGCAGAGTTAGCCGGGAGAAAGGAGCTGCTTGGTCCATGAAGGCTGAAGTGGGTGACACAGGCAGAGGCAGAAGTGGGTAAATGCTTGTAGGTACTCTTCCAGTGTCTGAATTGTAAGAATGTGAGCTAGATTCCATCTTGTGAAGCTTGAGGACAAGAGAGTACCACAAACCAAGCAAGCACCATCAGTGTAGGCTTCCTTTGGGAAGTGCCCTGCAGATCCACTGAGGATACTCTGGTGGCTTGGCCCAGAGCCAGCCTTATATGTGTGGCTAGAGTGGTCATGCCTGCAGTGCAGACTGAGCCCCAGCACTTTTAGGGTGCTTCAGGGTAATGTGTTCCTTTCCAAACAAAAATAAGTTTAGTGGATCATGACCAGCACTTTTAAAAAATGAAATATATTAAGTTCGATCCCTGGTACCAAAAAAAAAAAAAAAAAAGAAATATATTAAGAATCGAATAAGAGAAAGTGAAATGGAATAGAAAATATGTAGAGCACCAAGTATCATGGAGGTATTTTTTATGAGACTTGTTTCAGGGGTATATGGGTGGGTGTGTGCACTCATGTTAATAATGTGGGTACTGGATAGTGATGGAAAAGTTATTTCTTATTGTTAAAAGCCATCAATGAAAAGATAGCAGAGGATTAGAACATAACACATCATAGAGCACTTGCCTAGCAGTCCAAGGCCCTGGGCTCAATCCCCAGCACAGTGAAAACAAACAAAAAACAAGCAACAACAAAAACAATTACAATCAGTGAAAGCCCATTTAAAAATCCTCTTTATGTTAAAAAGCTGGATGAGGTAATTGCCAGGGAATTTAGAGTCAGCAGGCCAGAGTGGGGACCAGCACCTGACAGCACACGCATCCAGCTCCCCTATGAGGTGACTCCAGAGACTTCTCATAGAAGTTTCCCAAGGAACTATAGTAGGAAAGTTTGGGGGTGGGATGAGAAAAGAAAATATAGGAATGGATTAATAAATGATAAAATGTGAAGACTGGAAAGGAGAGTGAAATGAAAAATAGACGAGAAGGCGGAGTTCCTGGCTCACTGTAGCAACATGGATATTTTATTTGTGGTGATAAAATGCCACCTATTGGAGATATCTCAAGCTTAAGTTCCAATGGAAAACAAACTTGTTATAATCCTGGAAAATAAAGTTAGTAGCACCTAGGGCAGTATTTTAAACACAGTAGCTGGTTGATATATTCCTTTTGATTAGCTATATCTGAGAAATTATTGAATGGTTTAAGGCTGTTAGTACAAGGAATGCTGATAAATTTTTCTGTCCTTTTATTTTCCCACTGGTAAATAGTAACACTGGTTTCTTCTACAAAACTCAATCTCAGTGGGAATTAAATGTTTACTATAAATGGGTGCACTTTAAAAAAATATTAAAAAAACAATGAAGGAGCTTCAGAATCGTGTAATAACTGAGTCTACCACAGGCCAAAGCTTGCAGGACTGTCTGTCAGTTCATATTTGAAAGGACTTGCTCAGAGATAATGATGACTTTTTCCCCTTCAGAGGGTCTGCCTGGGCCAATACCACCTCCCAGTTCTTCCTGTCTGCTCTTCTTTTCCTCTATGTGTGGTGGAAGAAAATCCACATCAACACCTGGGGAGGTATGATGACATTACTTTCTTATGCTATTTGAAATTTAAGAAGATATAATTCTGGTTTCTGAACTTTTTCCGGAGGGTTTTTTATTTGTTTTTATCTTTTGGTAAATATAAAATTTATAGGAAAAGTTTAAATCACTAAAAATCTAAAAGTTATGGGATCAATGTGTGATTTTTTTTCAAGTCCACAACAGCAGCTTTTTGTTCATAGAAGACTATTGGCACCTATAGGTTTTAAGAATTAATATTTCATGAATTCAGATTACTAATTCAAAATCCTAGTTTTTCCTTGAAAATTATCCTGTTGTATGAGATCATTAATGTCTTATTAAATCAAGCAAGCACATTGTATTCTGTGAAACAATAGTACCACTTATAACTTACTGAAAGTCCCTTGGATATTTTAACATGCATAGATAAGCTTAATAAATTAGATTTTTGTTTCTCTTTTTCTGATAATAGCCATTCTAACAGGTGTGAGGTGGTTTTGATTTTTATTTCCTTCCTAATTAGTGATACTGAGCATTTTTCATGTATCTGTTAGCCCATTTGTATGTTGTCTTTTGAGAAATATCTATTCAGGTCTTTTGCATATTTTCAAAACCAGTTATTTCTGGGTTGTTTTTTTTCCTATTTTTTTGTGAAAAATGCCATTGGGATTTTGATAGGCTTTACATTGAATCTGCAGATCATGTAGGGCAATGTGGACATTTTGATGATATTGAGTCTTCTGATCCATGAACACGGGATATTTCCATTTTTGTCTTTAATTTCTTTTCATCAATGCTTTGTAGATATTATTGGAAAGGTCTTTCACCTCTTTGATTAAATTTATTCTTAAGTATCTTATTCTTTTGGTGCTATTGTAATTGGATTCTCTTCTTAATTTCTGTTTCAAGTAATTTGGCATTCTGTAAAGAAACATAAATGAGTTTTGTATGTTGATTTTGTATCTGCAACTCTTCTGAATTCATTTGTTAGTTCTAACAGGTTTTTTGTTGTTGTTGTCCTGCAACTTTACTTGCTGAATTGGTTTATTAGTTCTAATAGTTTTTTGTTGGAGTCTAGAGTTTTCTACCATCTGTAACAGAGAAAATTTTGCTTTTTCCTTTCTGATCTGGCTGCCTTTTGTTTTTCTGACCTAATTTCTCTGGCTGCTATTTCCCAAACTGTATTGAATGCAAGTGACAAGAGTGGGTACACTCAGTTTGTTGCAGATCTCAGAGGAAAAGCTTTCAGTTTCTCATTGTATGTGATGGTACATGTGGGCTTGTAATTATGGCCTTTATTGTGTGAAGGTTTAACATTCTTTTTATATCTAATTCATTGAGAGTTTTTAATCATTGGGATATTGAACTTTATCAAATCCACTGAGATGACTATATGTTTTTTTTCTTTCATTCTGCTAATGTTGTGTCTCATTTTTATTTATTACATCTCAAGATAAGTCCTACTTCATTGTAGAGTATTATCCTATTAATGTGCTATTGAATTTGGATTGCTAGTATTTGATTGAGGATTTTTGCATCTATGTTCATCAGGGATATTGGCTTGTAAATTTTTTTAATAGTGTGTTTGTGTGTATTTCATTAAATGGAATTTGGAACCAATGTTTTGATTCAACTTCAGTGTTTTGGAAGAAGTTGAAAAGAATTGGTACTAATTTCTCTTTAAATGTTTTGTAGATTTTACTAATGTTTCAGTTATTAACTCAATCTCCTAACACATTCTTAATATATTCAAATTTTCTGTTTTTTCATGACTTAATCTTGGTAAGTTGGACATCTCTAGGAATTTATCCATTTATTCTGTTATCCAACTGGTTTGCAAATAATTGTTCACAGTAGTCTCATGATTTTTTATATTTCAGTGGTATGAGATATAATGCTTCTTTAATTTCTGATTATGAGTTGTCTATTTTTTTCTTAGTCTAGCTAAAGTTTGTTAATTTTGTTTTTTTTTAAACAAAGCTTAAGGAAAGGAACACATTTTATGGGACACTTTATTGGAAAGGAGGCAAAAGGAAGAGATAGATAGCTACCCTGATAAATCAAGGTAGGAGGCTCTGGAAAGATGGAAGACCCCCTCAAAAAACGTGTGTGTGTGTGTGTGTGTGTGTGTTCCATCAATTTCTGCTTTGATCTTTGTTATTTTCTTCATTCTACTAACTTTGGGCATAGTTTTTCTGATTCCTTGAGGTATGAAGTTTACAGTGTTTATTTGAGGTCTTTACATAGACATTAATTTCTATAAATTTCTGTCTTAGCATTGCTTTTATAGCATGTTATGTTTTAGTATGTTGTATTTTAATTTTTTTGTTTGAAAGTATTTTTTGATTTACTTTTCAATTTCTTCCTTGCTCCACTGATTGTTTAGTGCTATTTAATACAAATCTGTGAATTTTCTAGTTTTTTTTCCCTGTTATCGATCTCTAGTTTCTTACCGTTGTGGTCAGAATAGGTAGTTTTCTTTTAATCTTCTTAAATTTGTTAAGACTTGTTTTGTGGTCTAACAAATGGTTTATCCTGAAGAGTATTCCAGGTGTGTGCTTAAGAAGAATGTGTATTCTGCAGTTGGATGATGTGTTCTTTAGCTATTAGGTCTTTCTGGTAAAGTCTATTGCTTCCTTATCGATTTTCTGTTTAGATGACCTAACCATTGTTGAAAGTAGGGTGCTGAAGTGATGTACTGTTTTTGTATAGCTCTTTCTCTCTTCAGATCTGTTAATGCTTGGTTTATATATTTAGGTACTCCAGTGTTGGATCCATATCTACTTATAGTTCTTATAGCTTCTTAATGAACTGACACCTTTACATTATATATGACTGTCTTTTTCCTTTTTACAGTTTTTTTCCTAAATTTATGATGTAAGTATAACTATCTCTGCTTTTTTTTTTTTTGGTTTCCATTTGCTTGAAACATCTTTTTCTTTCTATAAGTTTCTTTTCTGAGATCTGATCTTATTTATTTGTTACTCTTAACAATTCTTATTTATTGGATTCAGACTTAGAAGTAGAAGTTCTTAGATACGACAGCATGCATCCATTGGCAGTCTGTTCTTGGCATTTTTCTTAGGTTTCCTTCATTCTGTAGGCCCAAAGTTTAGCATATTTTGTTGCCTCTTCCTTATTTTTCTTTCATTTTGCAGTACTGAGGATTGAACCGTGGTCCTCATGCACGCTAGGCAAGCTTTCTACCATAGAACTACATCCTCAACCCACATTTATTTATTTATTTATTTATTTATTTATTTATTTATTTATTTATGTTTTGCAGTACTGGAGATTGAATCTAGGGCCTTCACAATGCGCTAGATCCCCAGGCCTTCTTTATTTTTTATTTTGAAATAGGGTTTCCCTAAGGTGCCCAGGCTGGCCTTGAATTTGTGATCCTCCTCTGTCAGCCTCCTGAGTAGCTGGGATGACAGATGTACACCATCATACCAAGCTTTCCTTATTTTTCTTATTTTATTGTTTTGTCAGAGCAATATGACAGCATTTGTGCTACAGGATGCAGAATAACAAGAGGCTGATCATCTTCTTAAGAGAGATTGCAAATTTTGTGTATTCTGTTAATACTTTTGGGCCACAGGTAACCAGGCACAATTGTATCCATCAATCAAGGAATATCCTTATCTTTTTCATTTTTTTTAACCAAGTAAAGAATGTTCACATTGACATCCCCAGCTCAATCTCAAACAGATTTGTTTTTTCTCTCTCCAGTTTTCCTTAGTCTGTAACAAGAATACCCTTTACTCAGTAGCAAGCACACAGAATAATGGGTCAAGGCACCTTGCTTCATGGGGAAACCTTTTTTGTTATCCCTACCACTGATTTAAACCCACGTAACCCTTTCCTTCTTTACCCAGAGCATCAGCAGCAACACCTGTGGCCATATGCTTTTCACAGGACACAAACTTTGTTTTCCTCATCCACTTCAATGAGTTTTTGGCAGCCAATGACTTTATCTTGATGTAGCTTATTGCCTATGAGGTACCACATATAAAAGCCTGTAAGTTTCAATCTATGGGTATCCATGACGGTGAAGTGAGTTTCTTGTGGGCAATATATAGTTGGGTCAAAGAACGTGGCCACTCAATGTCTTTTGTTTAGAGAATTTAATGCATTTACATTCAAAATAATTATTGATAGGCAAGGACTTGTGATTGCCATTTTGTTAATTATTTTCTGGCTTCTATAAACCTGTTCCTTGTTTTCTTTTTTCTGTCTTCTTTTGTGCTTTGATGATTTTCTGTACTGACCTACTTTCCTTTCTCTCTATCTTTTGTTTATTTACTACAGGTTTGTGCTTTGTTATCGTGAGGCTAAAATAGTTATAAAAGCCTGTTTTAAACTGATAACTAACTTTAGTTGCATACTAAATCTCTACATTTTTACTACTCCTCATTTTATGCTTTTATGTCACATTTTCTTTATTTTATATTGTAATGTTCATTAACAAATTACTGTAGCTATACTTTTGTCTTTTAACCTTTATTTTAGAGCCTTAAGTGCTTTTCACACCATCATTTCTATATTAGAATTTTCTAAACTTGATGATAGTCTTACTTGTATCAGTTTCATCTCTGTTTTCATTTCTTCAGCTCCCTGTTTGACTCTAAGGATATTTTCCTTCGTGGACACTCTGTGCCCTTATGTAAATCTTTTATTGGTTCCTTCACCTTTATTGCTCAATTGAGTTGTCTTTTATCTTTTTACATAAAAGTGATTTTAACAGGTATGAAGTATTATATTATAGTTTTAATTTACATGATTATTGATGTTCAGTACTTTTTCATGAAGTTGTTGGCCATTTGTATGTTTTCCAAGGTGTTTTTTTCTTTTCTTGTGGTGCTCAGGATCAAACCCAGAGCCTCATATATTCTAGGCAAGTGTTTTACCATTGAGCCACATCTCTAGCTCATTTGTACGTCTTCTTATGAGAAGTATCTGTTCAGGTAGGAAAAAATTTAAGTGACATCTGATTTTATTCTGTATCTTGTA